ACACTAGTTTGAAGACGTTTACTAGTTAGTATATTTTTTGGTAGGTAACTACATTATCAATACCTTCAATACAATGAATTTAGCGTAGCAGAATACTAATCTAATGTGTGCTTTGTAAAGGGATTTTAACGAATTTTAATGTTTTAATCGGTTGTAAAAAGTATCATAACATGGGCGAAACTTTGCAAGATTACTCCTTAAATAGTTTTTTTAGCAGTTTTGTTGACATGTATTATTTTTATCATAGTTTTTAATGAAGATTCGGCAGCCGTTCCATGAGAGCCCATGTTAACACGGTTTTTTATCTCGTCATTTCTCAATATTGTAACACATGTTAGAAAAATATTAGTAAAATCAAAATAATCTAAATATCACTATTCTCAACTTTCATAAAATTCTGTTATTATTTTATATAAGTAGGCAACGTTCTTAAAAAATAATCACGTTGCAAGGGGGTGTAGTACTCGACTCGCAACATGAAAATCTATCTTACCGACACAACGTCTTAATTAGGATTAATTTTATTGAATTGTAGAGCCGTTCGATCAAAATTTTATACATTATCTGATTAAGTTTTAAGTAAAAATTATAAAGTATCCTAAACAATTATTAGATCTGAAAAATTGATTGTGTCGGCAAAGTAGATTTCTGTGTATAATAAGATAAAGGCGCTCCTGCGAGTACCATCAAAGTAAAAAATAAAATAAAATGTAGAATAAAGTGTGCAAAATAATAACGAAATGTCGTAATTGTCTATTATTATTTAAAACAAAGAGTAATAAGTTTAACTTTGGTACAACAAACCAATGAGAAATTAAACGCTGCTTGACCATAATATACAAGGCAAGGCAGACGGTAAAATCTGACTAGCTGTGCCGATCATGATGGTTTTCGTTTGTGTTAATTGTTGAACATCAATAATAGACCCATTTTGAAAAAGTATAACTTGATCCTTTTCGCAAAAGTTAATTAATTAACATTATTATTAAAATTTTAAATTATTTAAAAAACTCGCGCATTATGTCTTCAATGACAGAAATGACTATTTTTCATGCACACGATAAAGAGTTAATCGATTTTCGCCAGAATACTTATCTTGCTATTTTCTCCACAGCCACTAATAATATTTCGATGTACCGTTTGAAAGCTCAAGATTTTATTCACGTAACAACAACTTCCTTAATTTAGTTTAGTAAATTACAAGGTTCCCAAAAATGTTATCTTTTCGTCTGTGTAAAACATCTCAACTTTGAGATGAAATACTTAAGAATTTTGGAAGGTTATAGGGAGGGAGGGTAAACAAGTATTTCGTAGAAATAAAAAAAGTCACAGCCGGTGAACTTTCTCCACTGAAACCCCTTTGAGACTCACCTTTAAGTAAACTTATTAAATTGTTTTATTTTCCGAACGTTATAGTGCTCTTTTTTGTTCAATTTTAATTTATGACTTAATTTCTTGATAACTTTAATTATTTTAAACAGTCGGTTATCGTAAATACGAATATTCTAGATTTGGAGAATTTTAAACCATATATTTTCATGTTACCTAGAAAATTGTTTGTTTTGCAAATTTAAATCACGAATTCATCCTCCATATTTCAATAAATTAAAAAATCATAACCCTTTTCCGAGCGATTATTCATTATTTTTTCATAGATCAGTTAATTATTAAAATGCCATACCTATGATACAATTAATGAAAAGAATTTTTTTGTTAAGATAAATTTATATTTGATAAGTTGATCATTCAACTCCAAATATACTCAAAGAAATTTTTTAAATACTAGATTAAATAAAATAGTGTAATTATCGCCCATCTCTGAAAAATACATTTGCGAAAATTGGTAAACAAAAAAAAACAAAAAAGAAATTCGTAATCTCACTAATCCAAAGATGATTTTTACGTTTACAAAATAATATTAAATGCGATTTTTTTGTTAAATTAAGTTTTTCTACACGATATTTTCCACTTAAAAAAAGCATGCACATGCTTTACAAAACACTGACTTACCGACAATAGAACGTGCCGCTGATGAGAATTTATTTTTATTTATGTATGAATAATTGATCTTAATAAACGTATTTTTATTCACTTGAGAGTATAATTTACTTGCAATCCTCAAAAAAATCGACCACTAAAACATCATGCTTTTAGTTATTGTAATAGATCATTTTTCATCAATAACTTTTAATGTTTTCAAAAAACAAAAAAAATATATATATATATTCATGTATACACATTTTTTTCAACATTTAGTCTAGTTTCAAATCACATTTTATCAACTTTTCTATAGCGTGCCTTTATATTCTAACACAAATTCAATTAAAAAAAAAAAAAAATTTAACCTCATAACATTGCTTTTCATAGTTTATAAACATTAAAATGCTTTGTGATGGAATAAAAATTAAATTTGTCAAATTGTGGATTAATCTATTGGTGGATTGTTTTTTCACGCAGGACATATTCTTGATGGTAAGACATTATTTAAATAGAATCAATTATTCATGCCCATATACGATGCAATTGACAATTTTCGCCATTCATGTGTAACCCCTCATTTTAAAGTTGTGCCATCAATTAGTGATATATACGTATGTTAAACACACAATGGGTAAGATATCAAAACAATTATAAATTTTTGTGTGTGAAAATCGAAAATATTTAACATGTATGTGTACTTGACGTAATAATTTTTATTCTTTATTATTTTTCTTCACCATTCGATCTTAACAACTAATTTATTTACTGTTTGTAGTATACTAATAACATTTAACAACCACACAAAAATACAATCCGTTCATATATTAACTTGACACAAACTCATGCTCATACACAATAATTTTTAACTCTTGCCTTAGATTTTTTTCTTTTTATTATTTTCCAATCGTAAAATTAATCCAAAAAAATTTTAAAAAAAAGAAATTTAATTTTCTCCCCACGATGCTTACAGCTGCTCCATTCCTTGGACGAGGACGAGCACAGCACGCCAGAATCTCCAGTTTTGCCCAAGGACCGGGAGCTCAATGATCTAAGAAAGGACAATCCACCGACCCAGCCGTCGCCTCTGCGACACTCGTCGTTGCCCGCTGTTAGTTTACCCGTGAGCGCCAGTCCCAGCACCAGCTCTAAATTCGTATCAATCGGTGGACCGAACGGACAGCTGAAAAACTCACCCATCAAGGTTTGTTTTTTTTTTATTTAAAAAATGTTTCAAAAAGTATATATCTTCTTCATGGTTTCTTTTTTTTTTTTTTTTTTTTTTTTTTTTTTTTTTTTTTTTTTTTTTTTTTTTTTTTTT